TATGCACAACAGTGTGTTCCTGATTGTAGCTCGAACTCGGCCTCAGCACCGACCTGAACGTTTGGGCGGACCTGCACAAAAAGGTGAGCACTCCGACGATCAAGTCAGTATAGGTCGGATTCCAAGTTTAGTTCGAAGCCAAAAATCATCGTACCTGATCGGGGAGTGAGGTCCTCTACTTATGGGTGGTGGTCCCGCTAATCTCGCGACGGTTACATTCGGTAATCTCGAGACCGTCGGTTGCACCCGGTGATCTCGGGACCGACGGTTACGCCCGATAATCACGTCGCAGACAGTTGCTCACATCGGCCCCTACCGAGCTCCCCGGTAGGTCAGACTTGGGCCAAGTTCACCTCGGCCCTCATACTTAGCTTTCGTCGGCGTTGGTGGCAGCCATTTCGGCTATCCGAGCTGGGCATGACTCATGGACCATCTTGGTGTACCAATAGGGGTCCTCCACGTGTCCAGGGTATTTTCATCCCCAAACACACTTCAAATTTGTACTTACTTTCCATGCTAATATTTCATTATTTTCTTTTATTACAACAATATCATACCTTGAATTTATATTTATATATAATCACTTTCTTTCTTTAAGATGATAATATTATAAACTTAAAAAACACTATTTGTTTTACTTTAATTTAGAACTACAAGATTCTACGTGCAATGCACGTGTTTCTTACAAGTATTCTTAAAATTGTACTTATTTATTATTAAAACTCAACTTCTATTACCCACTTTAACTCGGAAAAAACTATTAAATAAATTGTAAGAAACAAAAAAAAAATTAAAAATTGTGATTTCAGATTGCATAACAAAATCCATCGTCGTTATCTTATCAGGTGCCACGTAAGTAAGAACACCTTAATTACCGTAGGCTTGGATGTAGCTTAAATATGCTCCTCCACACTACGCTGGTGGTTAGCTTTATTACATTCTTTTTAAATTTTCTTTGACATCCTACTCTGGTTAAGTTATCGTCTCCAAGAAGGCCAAATTTCTCCTCTTTCTCTCCGCGCACCATCCGAGAGTCTCAGTGGAAGCTCCAAGGTCTGTAGATTGTGCTTCAATGGCGTTAACGCTGAATACAGCTCCATCTGTAAGATTATCGAGTGTCCACGCCAATCGAGTTCGAATTCAGTCCGCTTTATCGCCGGTTTCTGTTTCGTTTTCTAGTGAGTTCACTCAGCATCGCTTCACTAGTTTCAGAGAAAAAACAAAAATAAATGTACATTGATATCTGAGAGCTTTTAAATTGAAGAATACGTATTTCTAACTCTGTGTGAGATGAATGATTGTTCAAAATCTCAAGTTGTTATTCGCGGACTTCTTCAGTTTCGATGTCGATTTTGAGATTTAAAGTGCTGATTTTTTTTTCTTTGCTAACGACGATTCTTTACTGTTGTAGGGAGGAGGCTATCGATTGTTGCCGCAGAAACTGACGCGAACGAAGGTCTTTCATGTTTTTTGTTTTTTGTTTATTGTTATTACTATTTTTTTTTTCATTTCGTTTCCTTTTTGGAATACTTGAATCTTGCAGCATAGATTTCTCGGAACTTGAAAAACGATCAAATTGAGCTGCTTTGATTAATTAATTATTTTAAATTTCTTCTCATGTTGTGCTGTGCCGCATATTTATATTTTCCTTATTCGTACGGATCAGTTAAACCTCAGGCACCAGATAAAGCGCCGTCTAATGGTGGTTCGAGCTTCAATCAGCTTCTTGGAATAAAAGGTGCTGCGCAAGAAACTGTGAGTTACTATGTCCTCAGCCTGTTTTTGAGGAAGATTTGTTGAATGTGCACGTTAAAGTAAGTCGTTAATAAGTTCTTCATCTGCACTTTAAGCAGAATAAATGGAAGATTCGGCTTCAATTGACAAAGCCTGTTACATGGCCGCCCTTGGTTTGGGGAGTAGTTTGCGGTGCTGCTGCTTCTGGTACTCACTCTTTTTTTAATCAAACATTCAAACGTGCATTTGAAAAGTCTTTGATGAATTACTAACAAAGTTACTGTCAACTTACTTTTTAGTCGTCCTGTCTTATGAGAATTTGTGAGCTCTTCTCTTATCAAAACTATTAAGATTTAACCTCATGTCGTGTATTATATGGTCTAATGCATCTGATGGTGGTCAAAAGAACGATTACACGTATAGGTAACTTGGGGATAGTACTAACTGGCTTTACTTTTTGCATCAGTTTGCTTCACTGATTAGTTACCTCATTGAACCATGAATATGCCTTCTATATGATACATACTTTTCATTTACAGGTAACTTCCATTGGAATTTTGAGGATGTGGCAAAATCAATTGTTTGCATGCTTATGTCTGGCCCATTTCTCACTGGCTACACGCAGGTAAGCTGTTATTGATGCAAACTTTTCCTATCATTTGTGATGGTATTTGAGCAAAAAATAACATAGAATTGGTCCTTTGGTTTTTTAGACCATCAATGATTGGTATGACCGAGAGATCGATGCAATTAACGAACCTTATCGTCCAATTCCTTCTGGAGCAATATCTGAGAATGAGGTAGGAGATAAACCACTTGATATCCATAAGCAGAGGTATGTATGATCAATCCTAACTGATTTCTTCCTTCCATAAATTTTATCAGGTTATAACTCAAATATGGGTATTGCTTCTGGGAGGACTTGGCTTGGCCGGTTTGTTAGACGTGTGGGTAGGTCCACTGAACTGATGGTACATACACATCTACACATCTTTCATATGAACTGTTTTCTTTTTTAACCTCATCCTTATCATTTTCAGGCAGGACATGACTTCCCTATAGTCTTTTACCTTGCTCTGGGTGGCTCTTTGTTATCATATATATACTCTGCTCCACCTCTAAAGGTATCACAAACGTTTCTTGTATCTAAATTGGATTTTCTGGATGCTAAGAAGATTTTTTATGTGGTTGCAGCTGAAACAAAATGGATGGATTGGAAATTTTGCTCTTGGAGCTAGTTATATCAGTTTACCATGGTGCGAAATCCTGTGATCAATAATTCTTGGTTAATTGATATAAATTAGTGGTTAATAAAGTCAACCAGTAGTTTCTATTTGCAATTGACTGGTCGGCCAAGTCAATCACGTTTCATATTGAAATTCTGAGAACTTTCTATGTATCTGGTTAGTAGAGTTAGTAGTCGATATTTGGACTCACTTGAGTGGCCCAATCAGGTTTGCCTTTTGAGCATATTGTTATATCGATGGAGAACATCCTTTCTTCCATTGACCATGAATCGAACTGAAATTAATTGTCTATGATTACACTTTATCCACTCATATTAAAATATCCTCATCACTTTGAATGGAACCTCATGTCTTGAACTTAACTTAAATCCTCTACATGGAACCTTCAGTTGATGGCTAGTTTGCAGTTATCTCCTCTTTATTATCAATGTACAGCTTTTAGCTCGTTCCAGGCTTCCATTAACCATATGTATCACAAATTTTTCTTGTTCTTTATAATATGGTAATTTTACTTTTCCAGTAACAACGAATTTTTAATCTCAGGTGGGCAGGCCAAGCTTTATTTGGAACTCTCACTCCTGATATCGTAGTTCTCACACTCTTGTACAGCATAGCTGGAGTATGCTTCTCAATGAATTTTTTTGAGTTCCTTTTTGTACAAAAGCCAATCCTAATGCGCGTGCCTTCTGCTTTGCCTTAATCAGTTGGGAATAGCAATTGTAAATGACTTTAAAAGTGTCGAGNATCTGTCGTACTGGTCGAATTCGCTGGTTGAACCATGTTCGCTCGCGTGTTGGTTTAAAGGAATTGGGATGACTTAGATTGTCAGTGTCCCCAAAGATGTGCACAACAGTGTGTTCCTGATTGTAGCTCGAACTCGGCCTCCGGACCGACCTGAACACTTGGGCGGACCTGCACAAAAAGGTGAGCACTCCGACGACCAAGTCAGTATAGGTCGGATTCCAAGTTTAGTTTGATGCCAGAAATCATCGTACCTGATCGGGGAGTGAGGTCCTCTACTTATGGGTGGTGGTCCCGCTAATCTAGCAACGGTTACATTCGGTAATCTCGGGACCGTTGGTTACAGCCGGTAATCTCGGGACCGACGGTTACGCCCGATAATCACGCCGCAGACAGTTGCTCATCTCGGCCCCTACCGAGCTCCCCGGTAGGTCAGACCTGGGCCAGGTTCACCTCGGCTCTCATACTTAGCATTTGTCGGCGTTGGTGGCGGCCATCTCGGCTATCCGAGCTGGGCATGACTCATGAGCCATCTTGGAGCACCAATAGGGGTCCTCCACGTGTCCAGGGTATTCCCTTCCCCAAACACAAAAGATACATATAATTTATACATTAATTTATTAAGATCTACATTTATATAATAGGTTTGTTTTTATTAATTTAGTATTTTACCTTTTAAAAATAATTTTGTATTTATTTTTTAAAAAATAAAAGTGTGAATCCAAATGCCCGTTGTTTGTGCAACAAAATTGGCCAATGTCAAACCTAGTCAAGGTATGTCAATTGGGAGAGCTGTAGTGTTGGGAATGAGTTGGAAGACCACTTGGCAAGGAAGGACCTACACAAGGGAACAAACACTCTGACGCTCAAGTCAGTTTTGAGTTCGACCTTAGTGTGGAGACTGAATTGGAATGTTTTATCTGACTCAAGAGTGAAGTGCCCTTTTATATGTGAATGCATCCGATAGGGAATCTGGTTGATAGTTGGGCAAGTCGGGCCCCAGGTTGGTCTATCGGGAGTAGCTATTCCAATTCATATGCTTGTCTTCTGAAATGTGACTAAGTATGGAAGGTTGTTTCTCCTTTGAATGATCTTTACGAAAGATCTTCAGGTGGTCTTCAAGGAAGGCCTTCAAGCTGTCTTTAGGCAAGACCTTGAGGTCGGTCTTCAGGGAAAACCTTGAGGTTGTTCTCAGGGTAGACCTATAGGCGGTCTTTAGGCAAGACTTTCAGGTTGGTCTTCAGGGAAGACATTGAGGTCGGTCCTTAGGGTAGACCTTCAGGCATCCTTTAGGTCGGTCTTTAGGGAAGATATTCAGGCGGTCATTAGATAAGACCTTTAGGTTGGTCTTTAGGTTAACCTTGAGGTCGATCTTCAGGGAACACCTTCAAGAGGTCTTTGGGCAAGATCTTCAGGTTAGTCTTTAGGGACGACCATGAGGTTGGTCCTCACGGCAGACCTTCAAACAGTCTTTAGGCAATACATTTAGGTCCGTCTTCAAAGAAAACTTTGAGGTCGGTCTTCAAGGCCGAGCTTCAGGCGATCTTTAGAGAAGACTTTCAGATCGGTCTTCAGGAAACACCTTGAGGTCGGTCTTCAGGGAAGACCTTTAGGAAAGATCTTCAAGTTGGTCTTCAGGGAAGACCTTGTCGGTTGGGCCTTTCTTTGTCCTCCATGTGGCAAGGCTATTTTTATCCCCCAACATTGGCCCCTTTTCTAGTAGGTCGAGACTCCGACTTGGCAGAGGAGATCTTTCAGATATGTGTTTTTGCCTACGTGGTGACCTACAACTTCCGAGCTTGGAATATTCTAAGCTAGTGAGGTTATGTTGGAAGGCAAGGAGAACAATCATCAGGTATGACGACCTGGGTTTCTCAACGCCATCATTTGGTATGACGACCTGAGTTTTTGTTAAACCTATGTAACGATCAAGTTACATAGGTTGAGAAAATTTTGAGAAGCTTGGTCAAGGTCTTAACCTTTTGAAAAATCGGACCTCACGACTTTAACAAACTTTGAGAAAGCTCGGTCAAGGTCATTCTCGTTCTAAGGTATGGCCGTTGTGAATGGAGCCAACTTGGAGAAGGTCGGTCAATGTCTCCTTTTTGTAATGTCGGACAGTCATGACTTCGGCCAATTTTGAGTATAATATTTGAGCAAACTTTGAAAAGCTTGGTCAAGGTCGGCAGTTTAAGAAGCTCGATTCAGGCTTGCCATGTTGATTAAATTTTGTGCTTGGAGAAGCTTGGTTTAAGCTGGGCGCTTGAGAGTTTAAGGTCGGAGCTTGAAGGAGCTCTACTAAAGTTGGGCACTTAAAAGTTTAAGGTTGAAGCATCGAGAAACTTAACTTAAGCTAGTAGTTAAAATTTTGAAGTGGCATAAGTTGAGTGCTTAGAGTTTGAAGTTGGAACTTGGAGAAGCAAGACTTAAGTTGGGTGCTTAGGAGTTTAAAGTTGGAGCTTGGAGAAGCTCGACCTAAGCTAGGCACTTAGAAGTTTTAAAGTTGGAGCTTGGAGAAACTCGGGCTAAGTTAGGCACTTAGGAGTTTGAAGTTTGAGCTTTAAGAATTTCTGCCTAAGCTGGGCATTTAAGACTTTGAAGTTTAAGCTTGGAGAAGCTCAGCCTAAGTTGGGTGCTTAGGAGTTGTTGATGGGATAACACTCAAGGTCGGCATTTTGAGAAGCTCGGCTTGAGGTTGCCATTTTGTTGAAGTTTGAGCTATGCGAAGCTTGGCTAAGAATGACATGCGTACTTTATATTTGAAGTGGAGGTCACCAACACCTAACTTCGGTCATTCCTGCTTGCTCAAATATGATAAGATGATGGGAGCTCATGTTTAAGCGGAACGAAGCTATGTAGTGGACGCCCTTCCACTAGGTAGAGGTGAGCTATCTAATGGAAGCTCTTTCTCTAGGCAGAGATAAGTTATGTGATGGAAGCTTTTCCTTTAGGTGGAATGAGATTATCTTATGGAAGCTCTTCCTCAAGACGATGATGAGCTTTTTTATGGAAGCTCTTCCTTTAGATGATGGTGAGCTCTGATGGAAAATCTTCCTTTAGATTAGGATGAGCTCTTCCTTTAGGCAGAATGAGCTTATCTTATGGAAGCTCTTCTTTGGGATTATGAGATTTATTATGGAAGCTCTTTCTCTAGATGATGGTGAGCTCTGATTGAAGCTTTTTCTCTTGATGGGGATGAACTATCTGATTAAAGCTCTTCCTCTAGATGAGGATGAGCTATCTGATGGAAGCTCTTCATTTAGGTAGAATGAGCTTATCTTATTGAAGCTATTCGTCAAGACGATGATGGACTTTATCATGGAAGCTCTTCCTTTAGACAATTGTGAGCTCTGATGCAAGCTCTTCCTCTAGGTGAGAATGAGCTATCTGACGGGAGCTCTTCCTTTAGGAGATTATGAGTTCTAAGAAAAATCTTCCTCTAGATCAAGATGAGCTATCTGATTGAAGCTCTTCTTTTAGGTAGAGATGAGCTCATATAGAAGCTCTCCCTTATCTATTTTTCTTGTACTAAGGGAGGGTCATTCTGCTTGTCATCCTTGTAGTTATGACAATCCTGTCCATTCATTGAGCGTGTTTGATGAGTTTTATTTTTCATGGTAAAAAGCTTCTTTTCTAGGCATTTGAGGATATAAAAACGACGTGGTCTGGTGAAGAATCAAGTTGTTTAAACAAAATTTCATGGCTTAAGCTCCAAGCTTCTCTTATTTTTGTGGGAAGTTTCAACCAACTCAAAGCCTATAAAATGGAAAGTCTCCTCAGCACCATGGACAACAATTTTACTGCATTTTAGTCTTAGTTCATAGTTAGAATTTGTCTGTACTTATGTATTTACAATTTATCGCTTTTCAATAAAGTTGTTATTGATGTTTCTTTTAGAATTGCATCAACCCAAATCCAATAAACTAACATCCGAGTTTATGTCATGTAACTGGAAAATTATATAACTTATATATGGTATATATTTAATATACATTGTATATATTTGATATACACTATATATTCGATATACAAGTGGATAATGTTCCAGTAATAACCTAAAGGAACTATAATATATGGGTAAAGTTGGGAACCTTATCCTAGTAAAACTATGGATACGACCTACTTTGTAATAGTTACAAACGACTTAATTCAAATCGTTCATTTGGAGACATGCAAGTGGGAGTATCATATGCAATGAGTTTGTATAAGATCGGATCGGGAAATAATTACTGTTTAGCTGTAACACCATTAACTAATAAATTATTATTTCATAGGAAGACCAGGTAACTCAATCTCAATCCTAAGTGAGTTGTGGACTACTGCCTATAAGGGATCGTCCTTTGATTTGTATGAGTGAGAGTGGCCCGGGTCGCCAACTCAATATTCCTACCATTTTGGGGACGAGATCGAGTGGAAAGTTGGAAACATAACTACACAAGATGGAATTCACTCCTTCGCGACGTTAAGGTAAGTAGATGAGTGTTTTCTTGACTCTGAGACTTTAACAAGGGGCCCCACCCTCTCACTGGCTCGAGAGGGGACTTCTGTTTAATGGTCGAACCATAAACATGTTGTTCATTAGAGGATCAGTGGTACTTGAGATGAAAGATGTAACTCAATGGTAAAACAGTAATTTGACCCAGTTGTAGTTACGAACACTCGTATAGGATTCGCTTACTGTTAATGGTCAATATCCATGGATGCAAAATATTCTAGAGTGCGAAGAGTGCAGTTGCGGGTCTTTAGTGGAGTGACCCACAGTTAACGAATGTTGGTTACTTTGGTTAATAAGTTTAATCATTTAATCTTGTATCGTTGGAGCTTCTAATCT